CAGCCGCAGCCCCGCGTCGTGCAGCCTGGCGCGAGGACTGCTCGGGCCCCTCAGAGATTCCCAAGCAGGCCGTGGAGAGGGGGGCGAGGGAGGACTTAAGGGGCGGTCTCCCAGGGCCTGACTGGCCGGGAACCTCCCCCGTCTTGGCCACCTGACAGGAGCTGGACGCCCGACTAGACTCGGGTCCCCCTCCCCCCAGCACCATGGAGACTGGTTGCACAGGCCGCCTGGCACGTCATGGCTGCTTCTGTCCAAACTGCGCGTCCTAAGGCGCCCTGGGGGCGCACGCTGGTTTGGGGAGCTCAGCGCTTTGGGATTCTGAAATCACAGAGACCACTGGTAGCCTGAGGCCTGCGGGCCCGGCTGACCCCGAGGAGGACTGGCTATGGCATGGAAGGCGGGCTTTGGGTCCAGGCGAGAGCCCCTGAAAAGCACAGGCCGCACCTGTGTGCTGTGGGCTCTAGCCTGGGCTAGAGATCAGGGTGGAGGAGGTGGCCTTCAAGGTCCCCCCACACCGGCAGGCCAGGCCGTCCTCCAGGCTGGCCGAGGTCAAGGAGCTCAGTGGGCAGCCCAGGGAAAGGGCGGATTGTGGGGCGCTGCTCGCCATCCCGTCCCCCTTGAAGAGCAGCTGAAAGGTAAGTGGACTTTCTGTGTGGCTTTGACCGAGAAGAGAGCCCTGGTGGCCATTCTCATCATCCCAGTAAAGGCTCCCTCCACCGTCCGGGGCTCCTATTCTTGCCTGAGTCTCTCTCTCTCTCTCTCTCTCTCTCTATATATATATATATATAGTCACTGGTTGGGGAAATAGATTTGGGCAGCTGCCAACATGATATGTACCAGCCTTGGCTAACGTGTGGAGATTTTAATTTAATATATTTGTTCATCTTAGTGCCTATAGAAACTAGAAATATAATGTTGTTTTGTTTTGTTTTTTGGCTCTTAGCTGAGAAATCAAATTCTCTTGTTGGCTGGGAGCATTATTAGATTGAGAATCCAGGTCAAACCATAACAAATAATAAGAGTAGTAAACTGCCACCAGCCCCAACATTGTGTGGAACCTGGAGGAATGAAGCAGAATTATAAACATAATCATTTATCAACATCTCCAAATGGTGTTTTTTTTTAATCTTACATAATATCTTGCTTGAAATCACTGTCCTCTGGTGGTCTTATTTAAGAAACAATAATTTAAACATGATTTTCTTGGAAAATAGCTTTAAAAAAGAATTCCCTTAAAAATTCTTGACTCTTGAGTTTTTATTTTCGTCTGTCTAATCCCTTCCCTGAAGAAATGCAAGGGAAATGTAAATTTGTATCCTGTCCTGCCAGGCCCTTGTTTATATATGCAAAGGAGAAACTTTCCCAGCTTGGATTGACTGGGGCACACACAACCAGAAGGCTTCTGGGCACAGTCCCCAGAGGTGGGCAACAGCCGCTTTCAGGGGTGCACTCTAGTCTCTGTGCACCTAACTAACCTGAGCCTAGTATTTTTCCCCCCAATTTTTTCCCTTTGGGGGACGTAAGAGCAGGGGGGAAAAAATTAAAAAGCAAGGAAGAGATTAAGAAAATCGTTCCCAGATTCCTAAGGGGCATCACCACCCCCAAGTATGAACCCCATTCTCTGCTTTTGCCAGAGTTTTACAGAGCTTATAATCACCCTCTGGGAATTCAACCAAATCATATAAATAGTGTTTCTTCAATCTCCACAGAATTGAGGATTTTAAAGCTAATTCAAGGGGGTTTTACAAGCCCCAAAAATACAGTCGTAAAAAATGCCATTGGAAACAATCCCATTTCACAAAATGAGTCTGATCCATGCGTTGTAAAAGTCAACTTTCTCCAAGGCACCTCTCAGGCAAGCGAGCGCAGCTCGGACAGGCTTTTCTAGTCCTGTCTGGGGAAGGCCAGGCCTGGGGCTGCCGGGAAAGCAATTCCGGCGATTTCCTTGAGCTCTGGAGAGACAGCTTGTCCCCGTTCCGGAGCGACTGTCCCGGGCAGGCCCCAGACCAGTCCCAGGAAAGAGGACACACCCCAGGACAGCGTGGGCGCCCCAGATACCAAGCACATCCATTATCCCGCAGCCTTGGGCCTAGGCGAGCTGCCCTCTATGAGCGACTGGGCCAGGGACCCTGGTCACCCGAACCTCTGGAATGAGGACAGAGATTCCACATCTGGGCCTGTCTCAGTTCTGAGCAGTCCAGGTGGTTTAGGGCGATTCCCTGGGCTCTGCGCGAGGGGAGCGGGTCCCGCGGGCGGCTGGCGGCAGAGCTCAGTCTCCAGGCCGCTGCTCCGCAGGTCCCTTTCGGGTAGTAACCAGTGGTTTCGGGCTTCTCGGTTCCTGGGTTCAAAGGCGGAACGGGGTGCGCAGGTTATGGGGGTGCCTTGAGGCTAGGCAGTCGCTGGCCTTTAGAGGGGCGGGAGTCGGGACTCCAAGGAGTCGTGTTGTACGTGGGAGGAGGGGCCGGCGGGTAAGAGGCTACCTTTGGCCCAGCCCTGGTCGCTCCAGGTGAGCCTCCCGCCCTCGGCGGCTGGCAGGCCCGAGCCCTGGGTAGGAGGGGGGATGGGAGGAAGAGGGGGAGGCAGTGGTTTCGCAGGCGCAGGGGTGCGGAGCGAGGCTCAGGCCTGGTTTCTCAGAACCCGTCTCCAGCTCGGGACCCGCACCCAAGGGTAGGGGAGCGCAGGGGGAGGGGCAAACTCCACC